CCAATTTTTGCTAATACAAAGGTCATCCAATTCCACATTGTGAATTTTTAAATAAAACATGTCTGATACGAATCTTCGTTTTAATAAAATTGGTTATTACTTCGAACGCCTCATAAAAATTAGGTTGCCCAATTTGAGAGGGCACAAACAAAGTTAAATTAAAGTCGCGTCAGAGGTGATCACTGATCCCATAATTCAGTAAAGAGTTGTTGCAAATTCCGGCACCTTGTAGTGGCTTATGAACTAACTGAGTTAGCTGAGAATTCAGACGTAAATCTTAAATTATTTGTCCTGCTGTGGTACGTGTACTTGTAAAAATTGGCGGGCAACTCATGTTGGGCATATTAATATCACTAAAAACGACAAAATTTGGACACTGATCGGCTAAATTAAACAAAATTAGGACACTGATCGGCTAAATTAGACAAAATATCAAAAATAATGCAATCGCCCTCATAGCTGGATAGGGGAAGACGACACATGTATATCCCATAACAAAAACAAAGTTGCCCTTCGAGATCTTCAAAAAAATAGCCACGATTGTGTCAGGCAAGTAAATTTTAAACACATTTTAGAGCTTAGATTTATTAAGTCTGAAAGGCCTGTCGAGACGAAAGCAACATTAGTAAATTTTGCTAACAAAGAACTTACAACTACTATATGCACTACTTAGGGAATAAAATATATCAGTAAAAATTTTATTCAGAAAGTTATAATAAGCTTATTATTTCCCTAAGGAAGTACAGTAATCGAATCTATCGGAAGAATGGCCACTTTTATGTTTTCTGGACGTTGCTTGAGCCCTACAGTACGAAAAAAGTACTCTCCCGTTTCCGTCTGTCTGTCTATCTGTTTGTATGTTTGTCTAGTGTCTGTACCCATTTATATTAGACACGTAATCTTCGAAACTACAGGACTGATTGATGTCAAATTTTGTATGCATATTAGGAATATCACGTAGATGGTTAAACGCTAACCAAAATTTGGCTAATCATCCCCACCGACAATTTGATGACGTCATTTCAATGAATTCTAATAATTAATTAAATAAATAAAAATGTTATACAATAATAAACTCCTATACTTGCGGTGTGCGAATTCGATTTGAGTTTATTGTTGTAAACCTCAAAATAGTCACAAAAAAATGAACACAGTATAATAGCAGTTTCCATTAATGTAGGATATCCAGGCCGTGGTTCAGTGGGTTACAGCTCCAAACGTGGACCGGCGATCCCGCGTTCGTTGCCAAGCTTGTCCGTCTGCTTTTTTTCTCTTTTCTCTCGCGCTGTGTATTATCTATGTGTGACGTCATAACAACACATTGCCAACCATTTTCTCGAAAAGGTGAGAATAGGTACGTCTTTATTTAATAAGAATAATAATAATAATAATATTCAGAACATTATGTTCGACTGTGGCTTAATTAATAATTTCAGTCCCACAGGACAACATATTTTGGGGCAACAATGGTTACTTCATGGTTACTTCCTTAGTAAAGAGCGGTTTTCTGTTGGTCTACGTCGTTATACGAGGGTGGGGTGATTAATGCCGGGCCTCAACAGGAATGCATTGTTTTTTTCGGTTAATTTTTATTTATTTCTCAACATAATCTCCATTTAGCTCGATACACTTAACCCAGCGATCTTCTAGACCGGTTACACCGGAGTAATACAACGATTTGTAGAGATCTTCAAAATAACTATTTGCTGCTTTGATGTTGTCATAAACCTCTTACCACCCAACCACTTTTTGAGGTTTGGGAAAAGGTGGAAGTGACATGGGGCTAAATGGGGTCTGTAGGGAGGGTGGGGAACCAATTCAAATTTTAATTCATGAATTGTAGCCATCGCAATGACTGAAGTATGGACTGGTGCATTGTCCTGATGAAACTGCACCTTTTTTTTTTCGGCAAATCTGGCCGTTTTGCTTTAATTTCCTGTTGTAAACGTTGTAGTAGAGTGGCATAATATTCCCCACTAACTGTTTTTCCCTTTTGGAGGTAGTCAATAAAAATTATTCCCCTCGCATCCCAAAAGATGGTGGCCATAACCTTACTGGCCGATGCAACTGTCTTCGCTTTCTTCGGCGGTTCTCTTTTTTTGGTCCACTGTCTCGACTGCTGTTTTGTCTCGGGGGTGTAAAGATGGAACCATGTTTCATCGACTGTAATGAATGGACGCAAAAACTCAGTTGGGTTACGCCTGTAGTGTGGCAAACAATCAGCCGAAACATCCTTACGACGCTGTTTTTGGTTTGGAGCGAGCAAACGCGGCACCCACCTGGCGCAAAGCTTTTTCATTGTTAAGTGTTCATCTAAAATATTTCGAATACGTTCTGTTGTGATCCTTATTGATTCTGCTACCTCCCTCACTTTCACTCTCCGGTCAGCCAAGATGATTTTATGATTTTTTTCTGTAATTTCTGGAGGAGTCACCTCAACAGGGTGCCCACTGCATGGTTCATTATTTGTGCTGATTCGGCCCATTTTAAATTTAGCAACCCATCACTTAATTGTTGTATACGATGGAGAGGAGTCTCCCAATGTTGTATCCAACTCTTTGTTGATCTCACTTGCTTTTAGGCGTTTCAAAAAAAAAATTAATTATTGGCCGAATTTCTACTTTTTCCATTTTGTTAGAATTGTTTGATCCATCTAATCTGAAGGACTGCCATCCAACTACTAAACGACATATTGACATGAAATTTTTAAGGGAAGCTGATGGAAGATGAAATTATGGAATGCCATCATTATACTGATCTTATTACTCCCACATCTATGTGAGGCCCGGTACTTGTCACCCCACCCTCGTATGTGGGGACGCGTGAATCGCCGGCACTCTGTAGCGGGTGATAATCACTGAATTTAATCGTTACTTATTCCATAAATACAATTAACGAAAACTTAATTAGTAAAACGGCTAAGTAAATGAGAACTGGAATTAACAGCAGAGTGCAACGAAGCAGCGTTTTTCTATTGTCAAATAAACGAAGTGCAGCCCATAACTGCACACCGTACCGAGTTTGATCTTTCATTAGACGCCACCCTAAGACAGTTTTAAGCAAAATGACCAGAAACTTTATACTTAAAACATCAAAAATAAAGGAAAATTCTGTAAATGGTATTGTTGCTATGTCATAGATAATGGAAGATCCAGAAATTCATGAGGTTGGACGTGTATCTGGCGGCGAAAACTTAAGACATGAGCATATTATTGAACACCGGCTTTGAGAAATGTCATTTGATATAGACAAGTGGAAAAAAAATTGTAACAGGTGTTCAATTCAAAATTACTTAGAGAAGGCGTTGGAATGTCATTTCATACAAACGGCATATTTGTTCTTATAACTTCCATTTGGCAGAAACATAACCTGTTATATGCTATATGTTATAATATAAGAACAGACATCCCATTTGTGTCAGTTGACATTCCAACGCCTACTCTGACTGATTCTTCAATTGAACACCCGTGATAAGATTCTCTAAAACGCAGTATGGATTACTGGGTACACGTTAGATGAGATAATACAACGCGCTGTGTTAATTAATCGTCTAACATTTACATCAAACTACTTTATTTTCAAATCAGGATGTTCTTGAAATCTTGCAACATTGATGTTAAATATAAGGCTAAGGAGCGGATTTTAAACTAAAAAAATGCCACAATAATCGATGAAAACGGAGGATTTAGGCCCGAAAACGGTAAAATAGGCACTTTAGGCAAGTTTTAGGAAATAAATTTACAGAACGTCTTATTTTCTTTTAGATCTACATTTATTTTATTATTTTCATAATCAACGATTCCTTAAAATTTGCGCAACAAATTAGAAATGTTTCTAAATTTTCGGCAAAAAAAAATTCCTTTTGTCTGTTACGTCATTTTTATACCTAGAAAATGATCTCTCAACACCACACGTGTTAAAGGAGAATATTTAAAATTAGAAATTTCAGTGGATTTCATTTTTATATATTTTTCTACATTTTCACCTTGTAATATTTTGCTTGTAATTTTAAGCTCTTGGTACGCGCTATTTTTTTGTATCTTGCAGCTTTTTAAACGCCATTTCACGTACTCTTCCCGGGGTGTCTTCCAATCATTTATACAATTAGTCTAGACATTGTTTTTCGTTCATTTCCTTAATTTGTACTTTAAGGGCGCTTTGCCTTTGGGCATTTTTAAAAGTGGCACAAAACACTACTCGATAAACAGTTTTTAAAACACTTTTACACTTTGGAACTTCACTTTATGAAAACCCAATACGAACTAATTGATCCAGGAAGAGAACTCGATAAGAAAATTGTAGGAGGGCTTGGTTTATTTAACACTTGAAAGCTCTCGTCGGGGTCTGCAAATGGGTGTTTTAATTATTTTAAAACCTACCTACAAACGAACTGTGCAATAAAATTTGTTCTTTGATGGTTTACGCAAAAAATAGATTTGGGGTATTGATTCGTTGGCATTTTGCTAACGGAATTCTCCCGACCCAAAACTAAAAAATAAGAAATGTGATTCAGGCAAGAAACATATACATAGAGGCAGAGAAAGTTCAGATTTTAAAACAAAATAGACAAAAAAAGTATAATAGGCAGAAAAAAGTAAAATAAGTAGAAAGAAAGTAAAATAGGTCGACAAAATGCAAATACAGCGCTATGAATATGTAAAAATATATAGGTATTCCATTAAAAAAAAACTAATTTGTATGTTATGCCTCATAAACAAACCTGTATAATTGTAAATAAATTTAATTTTAATATTAAGTTCACAAAAAATCATACAACCTTTTAACTTTTTTATCCATCTCTAATAATAATAATTACTGAGACATCGAGGACCGCGCCCTGAATGACAACTCACCCTGTATAAATAAAATACATTCGTGCGACAACGGTCGGGAGCATTCCTCCAAAAAAACATATACTTTTCTTTACAAAAAAAACTTAAATATTCGTGTCAGGTGCTGTGTAAAATAATGTTTCAGTACTTTTTTTATTTTCATTTCAGTGTCCGAATACGATCTGCTTGGAGCTGTGAAGATTCCTTTTCAAGATCCAAAAACTCAATACATCGACGAGGACGGCCATGACGGATTTCCAGCTCTTGGATTTAAGTCTGGATCAGACGTAAAGATAGCACATCGTCAGATATTGCCCGAAAAATTGCCGGCAGAATTTTCGATTTTAATTAGTGCCAAACCGCGATCCAGAAAAGGTGGATTTATATTCGCCGTAGTCAACCCGTATGACACTGTTGTAGGATTGGGAGTAAGAATTGCTCCAGAGGGAACCAGTAATACCGTCATATCTTTATTTTACACGGACACCTCTCATATTGTTTCCCAGATTATCGCAAATTTTACTGTTAATAGATTCAATGGAAAATGGACGAGATTTGCATTTCGGTTATCTGTCGAGAATGTCACGTTATTTTTTAATTGCAACGAAACTGAAACTGTTTATGTCAAGCGGGAGCCATTAGAATTAATTTTCGATTCCGCATCAACGCTTTACATTGCACAAGCCGGTCCTGTCATTGGGGAACCCTACGAGGTAAGTCTTTACATTTCTAGAGCCATGCTGATGATTTATACGACATTAATAAAACAGAAGCACCATCATCTATACATAACTTAATAAAATGGATACCAATTGCCTATGAATATTCAAAAGAGATTTAATAGCTCCAAGAAACTTTGCATTTCATTGAATCTTTCATTAATACAAAAATCTTGCAGTTATTAGTTTCTTAATGTTGGTTATGGTTTTACTGTTTTATTAACTTCTTCGCTTTGCTGCAATTTTCTCACGTTAATGGAACATTCAGGGATATTTTATAAAAAGCTCTTTCGAATTTATTGCAGACCATTGTATGGAAAATTAATGTAATAGCTCTTTACTTAAATAAGGTGTGGTGTTAACATGCTTATCTGAATTAGGCAAAATACCATAGTAAAAGAAATGAAATACAGAAAATAACGAAATATTACCTAAGTGTTTATTTTACATTGCGCAATCAATAAAAATTGCTAATAATAGGTCTCAGGTAACCTATTTTTAATTTATATCTGGTAAAATTTCAAATATATGTGAATACATACCTATTTACATAATAATTGCCTTTTGTAATTTACTAGACAACTTCCCACCATGCTCACTTTTCACTCGCCTGTAAAAGTAAATAAGAAATTAATTAAATTACAAACGGAGTTATCGATCGCAGTGCACACAGACATACTTATGTTATATTTAAATCTAAACAGTTTGTATTTTCGGATATGTCATATGTTTCTTCCGTTTGTCGATGGGCTACTAATATTGAAAAATTCTTAATTTCAATATCTTTTACACTTATTTTTTTATATTTGACATTGCACAAGTAAAACTAAATATAAATGATTTCAATACTTACATTGCAAATATTTAAAGACATCGTCTTTACTAATAAGACTGCGTAGGTGCTTAATTCTTTCACCTTCCACCGTTCATTCTGGCAAACTAGAATCGTGCTACGACTACCAGCAGTCGTAATCCATTCATTATTACTAGAGGTTTCCTATCATAGTTTTGAATAAAGCAATGAACTTGTTGAAAGAGACGGAATTACTGTAATTTTATTTATAATAAAGATTGCTTTTTTATTTCTTGATTTATTTAAATCATTTATGAAACACCTTATAAAATCTTAACATTTCGACTGGCTGCATTTAGTTTTAATCACATAAATGTTAGCATACATTTTTAAAAGTCAATTGTTATAATAGTCATAGCTCATTCGTGTTTACTAAATAATTTCCATAATAAAAAGTTATAAAACACTCGTCAAAAAAGAAATTAATAACCAATAAGACTTACCTATTTCTAAACTTTTTGTGTTTTTAATGGCTTTACGTATAAAAGCAAAATTAAAAAGCCTTAAACTAGTTACTTAATAGTATTACTGTAACCCTGTCTGCTTTTACATGTTAGACGTTATACTGTGAATTTGCATTAAAGTAGAATTCTTAAAAAAAAATACGAAAAAATACAACCTTTTCCCTTATGTTACATACAACATTTTTTCTACGACTGCGACTGCAAAAAAAAAAATATTAACAGAAAACTGACAAAACGATACTATAGGTATTACTAGAATTTTGTGGCAAATAAACAGGATCAGAGTCATCATTTTTATCAAATCTAATCATTTTATTACAAAAATAAGTAGAATGTTAATATTCGTATCGTGGTTCAGAAGCAACGGCCCGTAAATAAATTAGAAACATCTAAATTCAAATAAGTAGCAATTATTTGGTGGAGCAAACGGCCAAATACGTTTAAATTAAACCAATGACCTGATTGTGACATATGCCGTTTTCGTACCTTAATTTACTTTTGCCGCTGCAGATTTTTCTTTCCTCAACACTGCATACCTACTTTTTATAAATTCCTACAAAGTCGATTTCATTCTTTACTGAATCTGGAATTTTGGCGATTAAAATCCATTCTTGTTCTTCAATTTTATTTTCTTGTAGTTTGTAAAATTCATTCCAACGACATATTCCAGAAATACTAAGGATTAAGCTATTTGTGATTTAATAGTATGTTTATTTTAAGCTGGGGGGCAAAAATAAACGTTAATATGTACTACTAGTGCTACCAAGGATTAAGGCAACCTGTAAACTATTTAAAATGTGATTAACCTTTATCATTATAAATTTATCATCCGATGCTCCTTAAGTAATTTGTTCTTTATTTCAAAAATCCGATTAATTTACGAGGAGTGTTTTTTATATTGATTTTTGACTTATACTAGCAAGGTGAAAAACCTTTAAAAGCAGTCGTAGGAAAAGTATCATTTCACAGAGTATTGGCGCACTAAATCTATGGCACATTGTTAAGAAGTTTTTTGAGCAAAAAAAAATATTTAAAAAATCCTTAGGATCAGATATAGTAAGAAAACGCAGCCCTTCAAAATTTAATTTGTGTTTTACTACTTAGGATTGGGTATCGATCCTATTTTCACTCTTCAAAATAATTTTAGAAGTGTCTTGTTTTTATCCTATAACATTACAAAAACTTAAAAATTGTTCAGAATTAATATAGTAACAGTAGCTAATTTTTCACCTTTTTTAATATATCTATCTAAATCGATATTAATTTTCCTAAGTGGAAGTCAAATTGACGTAAGGAATTTTTAATGTTGTTTTCTCGAACTAATGCACTTGAAATTTAATAATAATAATGTCCCGTTGAATTAGTGCGCCATTTTTAAATTGATTGTATATTAACATATTGCATTGAAATTACGAATTGAAATAGTTGCAGCAATTCTCAGAACACATGAAAAAACTATTAATTGGAAACACATGTTATTGTGAAGTAACTAAGCATTTTATTGCACTTTACCAAAAGGACTGTTATATACTTTGTAATGTCTTTTCCATTTTCAGAGGGCACTGGATTTTTATTTTAATTTCATCTATGAAGTAGCCTCAATGAAATAGTATATTATTAGCCAAGGTTGCAGAGCCAAGCATTCTAGACCGAGCGCAAATTAGAACCCGAGACGCGTAGCGTCGAGGGCTCTAAGTGCGAGGTCTAGAAGTGGCTTTGCAACCGTGGTTAATATACTATTTTTTTCACTAGTAGAAACCATAAGACAATAAACTGAAAAATAAACGTTCAATTTTTTGACGCAACGTGATTTTGTTTTGATTTCTAATCAAACTTGATCTAAATCTTCAACACAAAGAAAACCGTTTATACTTGTCGCTGAGTTAATCATTTTATCTTCTACCGTCTACCAACTACCATGCGTATACTCAAGTAATGTTTGTAGCACACATTTGTTCATTTTTTAAGAAATAATCACATCAAACATTGCGTACATAACGTCAATTTTTCTTTTTGAACCCGTGGTAGCAAAAGTTGAATTTGCTACCCCTAAATGAGTCGACATTCGCATGCGTCCAGGCTGCTAGTGAAAAATAAATATTTCTTCCAAGGATAGTCCTTATTTTTTCATTTATGTAATACAGAATTTTCAATGCAAAGAAAACAGGTTTATAGCACTGTTTTCTGCCATTTTTCTCAAAATCATTAGATCGAAAGCCAGTTTAAAATATGATGTTTAACACGAAAGAAAATTTGAACATTTCAGGGACTGCATTATCCATAATGAGCAGACATTTTCATATTCACTAATACTTGGATAAAGTAGAAAGTAATTCTGGTCATTATTCGTAATTTTCTAATTATCTAAAATCAGCTAATGTTTGAACTTGACGTGACATGTCGCTTATTACTGCTCACCAGATTTATTATGGTTTTATAGGTTTATTTGATGCACGTTTTCTTTTAGACATAATGCAAGAAAAGGTTACAAAGGAATTTGTGAAAGAATTTTTACCTTTACCATTGTAATTAATAACCAAATAAACAAAAAAAAAGACAAAGGAGACATTCTCCACTTTGTTATATTTAAAAGTGAGTACCTATATTTATTTTATTGTCTTGTGTGATATAAAATTTATTATTTATTAGACATAGCGGACTTTGTATTTTTTGATAACCAAACATAGAAAATCATTAGCTAACCTTTTTATTGTTAACATAAGAAAAAAACTTGTTAGTTATTCAAGATGAAAAGACATTCTTACTGTTTTTTTCTAGGTCAATGTCCAAAAAGACTTCCAGAGTTTTATATACCACCAACAATGTAATAAATTGTATGCAAATGCAACGATCAAAGACAAACTTTAAAAAGTCCATGGTTGTCTTTGAGCGTCTTTTTTATTGCTCTCTCGGTACTTTCCAGTTATAATTTTATTTGTCCCAACGTCAGTGGAATTTACTTGCAGGTGTCCTAGAAATCCTAGACGGGTTGCAGACTAGAAAAACTCACTTTCAAAGTGAAGGTATATAAAACTCATTCTTTTTTAGGTGAAAGCACATTTCTCGTTTCCAAGTCAACAAAAAGCGTAATTTGAAAAAGTCTATAGCTACAGTCAGTCTTTGATTATTATATACAGCGTACAAACCACACTTCTGCACACATCAATTTTTTTATTTTTTAATATATATATGAAACTCAAATGGGGACAGAAATTACATCAGTTGAAGTTTCAGTATTCCGTTAAAATACGGCTAAATGTAAAACACAAAACATCAAAACTAAATCGCATTATTTTTTTTGCATTGTTCTTGTTCTGCTTTAATTTAAAAATTCTTGAATATAGGGAGCATATTTAGTTCCAAAATAACAAACATAAATACATATTGAAACAAAAATGCCTACCGTCAATCTCAGTACGGGTTTTGTTTATTATTTATCTAAATGAAAATCTGGTGAAGTTTATTAGCCATTTCTTTTACTACTAGTTTAAATTCACCTAGCTATTGGTTTATTTCTTTTTTATGATGGTCGGTCTGCAATAAAAGAGCTTTGCTTGAACGTTCCATTAGTTCGGCAGCAAGCAGCAACCAGTAGGTAGACAGCAATACATAAACAGTCTGCATCAAAGTGCAATCTAAATTTGAGAGTAAGCCATCATCATCTGTAATGGTTGGTC